CCCCAAAACCCCAAAACCCCAAAACCCCAAAACCCCGCGAGCCAATAGATTTTAAGTAGTTGCTTAAATGCATCAATTATTTATTATATTGATTTAAATTGATTATATGAGATCACAGAGATCATAAACACCCTAACAAAGATAATTCTCTTAGGAGAGACTTACTGGACGTCAGTATCAACCTAAGAATTCATTTCAAAATAATTAGCCTAGAAATAATAATCAACAGAGCTATCAAGGCAGACAGTAGCAAAGGCCATTGGATGCAGTTAGCATGTACAAATCAGTGCATGATCCAAGCAAAATCTAAGTGATCACATAATCTAGCGAGTTTCTGGACTCTCCCGACAAGATCACTTCAATGACAAAAGAATTTGACATTATTAATGTGAGAGCAGATGAGTGCAAGATTGATAGAAGCATCATGGTCCTCGACCTATCCCTGAATGTCAAGGGAGTTGATGAGGACGAAGCTTTTGCCAAAGATGCTTATCTTTGGCTTAATTTCAGAAGAGGCAATACTATTCTAGAGCTGTACGATCCTAATGATATTACTGTACTTATTGCAAGAACTGTAGGGAGAAAGGGTATTAACAAGTTCTTTGATCTTTAATACAAGTTTATAAACAAGGAATCAAGGTATAGAGAGGATATTTTGGATTAATTTAGCAAAGATCAAAAGAATCACATCTTAGCAGCACCTAGAAAAGCGATACTTGAGGGACATAAAGTTGAGGTTATCAAGACTTTAAAGGTTAATGGTGAGAATTGCCAAGTATCTTGGAATCCCGAAGCTGAATGCTGGCTTATATGCTCTAAAAATGTATCCCTATTAGCAAGAGACAATGAAGATATCAATAAATACCCTATTAAAGCTAAAAGATATACTTTCGCAGCAGTGATGGCAGAATGCTGGTTCAAAATGATTGAGGGGTTTAGCAAAAAAGAGCTAAATGACTTGAAGAATGATATGAGAAATACAACATGGATTGGTGAGTATGTTGGCAATCCTTTATGCTAACATTTAGTTAGATATCCCTTTGAGACTATAGTCTTTTATGCCATAGTAGAAAATAACTCTAGGAAATTATGCAAACTGCCAGAAGAATCAATGCGCATATTCAAAAAATACAACTTCAATGTGGTTTTTACTCATTCAATAGGAGCATACTCGGATTATGATAAAATGTGTGATGATCTGCAAAAGGAATTTGAAAACGTTGCTTCATAATCAATTCAAAATGAAGAAGAAGGATCTGTATTGTACTTTGTCGTAAGAGATAGAGAGGAATCAAAGTATGACGAGGTACTTTCGTTGTCAAAACTCAAAACCTTAGAGTATAGGCTTTTCAGAAAAATGAGAGAAAAACTTAGAAATTTCGTTGTAAAAAATAACTATGATTACATTGAGTTTACAAAGGAGAAGTTTGTGAAAGAGGCTAGAGATTTATGTAAGGGTTTTAAGTAACCCCATCCTTTAGATTTCTATATCGATATATTCTTCCAGGCATTTAATCTTATCAGCAAAGGTCCTAGATAGGACTAAAATTACTTCAAAGATCTTCTTTTGAACTAGTACATCAATTTCCTAGATGATGTCTTGAATGTATTTGAGGAACAGAATAGATCTCACGGCAATAGAAAATACACTGGGAAGGTGAACTTCATGTCGATCATCCTCGACAATCAATTAGATATCAATTACGCAGGTTACTAAGCTCCAAGATACAAACCTAAGCATCAACCATCTGGCTCAATTTAAAAACCCAAATAGCCAGAGACTAGTGACCTAGGCAAAAGCATTGTGCTGATTATCCCTCCATTCGGTATTGAATCTGATGCAGTTATATCTCTAAAGAATGATTTCAAGGACTAGCTAGTTGAAACTGATCATCTAGAAAGAAAGTATTTACTGAAGTCTAATGGAAGGGGCAAACTTAATTTTGTCCTCTTAACTTCCTTGAATGGCTTGGAAAATGGGTTGATTACTCAGAGAGATGATGTGCATTATTTCTTGTTCAGACATGATCACGACTTCCTAGATAAAACAGTGCATAAGCACTTCAAGTCTACTATCAGAGATATCAGAAAGCATCCTTAGCAAAACCCACCCTATTACTCTGATACACTAAGTCAAGGTTAAACGCAAATTGAATTCAAGCAGTACATCGACTCTTAGGTTAAAATTCTAACTAAATTGCTTGAAAAATCAAAAAATTCACCCTATCTTTATTAGAACTACGAAAGTGAGGCATAGCTTATGAAGGCAATAGTTAAGCTGAGAGATGAATTTACTCCTACGCAAAGTGAAGCTATAAAATCATAGTAAAATGATGTATAGAAAAATGAGGAGATCGTACAGCCAAAGCCAGAGTAATAGCAGTAGCAATCAATCAGAAAAGTGGTAATTGTGGAATAGTAGCAGCAGTAAGTGAAGCTTAGCTCTGCATTAAAGAAGACTGATGGAACTGGAAAGAAAAGTCACAGAGAGGAGGAAAAGGAAGAGAAGCATGTGAAGATTAATGATGTGCCTCAAGTATCACTTATTAAAAAGGAGGAGGACATTGTCACTAGTGTTCCTAGCAAGAACACAGCAGTATATAGGAAAAAGGAACCTGTTTAAAACTTGGATTCTGAAGTTAATTCAAATGGAAAGAGGCAGTCACCGAATCCATTAATCATATCTAAGGGCTCGAAGAAAAAGATTGCTGTTCTTTTGCCCATGGGTATTCCAGGCATGGGTAAAACTACTTTTATCAAGAATTACCTTAGAAAATTCTTTGAAGTGACCAACGAATGCAACTTTGTAATAATATCTAATGACGAGATTAGGAAAGGCTTAATAAATGACTATTTGAAATAGAATCCTCATAAAACTTCGAGAGATGCCTTTGACAGCACAATGAAGAGCACTGCTCAGGTATTTAACCAAGCCTTGACACAAAGAATCTAAGATGCAGCTAACGATACCAAGAACAACATATATGTGATCTGCCTTGATAAAAACCATCCCCCTCCAATTATATAGAAAACAGTGGATGTTATTGAGAGTGCTCTTAGCTAGCAATAGAGAGAGAAAATAGACTTGATGAAGATTGCCTTGGTACCGAATCAACCAAACCCTCATCGCGGCTTTCCATTCTCTCTGAGTCTGCTAGTACAGTGCTACCAGAGATGTCTTGATCGTTCAAATCATGACACCCTGACTAACGAAGACCCCAATCACTTGGCAAGAGTGCTGTTCCTATTCTATAAGCAGTATCAAACTCAGAAGTTCGACAACCAGTTCTTAAGAGATCACAATTTAGATCAGTTTATGAAAGTACCTTTCACTCTTGAGCACTAAGATCTTGAGCTACCTAATAATCTATATAGAAATGTTGAGCAATGCTTAGAACACACTACTAATCAATTGCCTTTACCCCATCCAGTGTTTGATAAATTTGTGCATTTAAGTCAGATCTATAAGGTTTTCTTCAAGGGACAAACAGGCGAGGAGTCTAAATTGGAGAAATATCTTGAGGAGAATTTCAGCAACCTTTTCCAATAGGATATCAGTCCAAAGGTAAGGAAGCAAGTCAAGCCAAGATAGCAAGACTAAGATGCAAATCGCAAGTACTCTCAAACTATGATCATTGAAGAACAGTTGACTGAAGTTATACAGAACTAACCTTCTTATTAAGCTAAGAGAAGTAGTAATTCTAATCTGTCGTAACTTGTGGATTAAAAATGGATTGCTGAATCAGAGACTAAAGCCAATACACAGTCAATTGAGAATACTAGCATTAGGCAAGTGGAAGAAGTGTCTGATAATCAAGAACAGGTGCACTCTCTATTCAATCAAGCAGAAACCAAGTATCCTCATAATAACACTCAGCAATAAACTAAAAAAGAACGAACAAGCAGCAAACCTAAGCCAAAAGCAAAGTAGCAAATTGAATAGAAACAATAGCAGTAGACTAAGTCTCATGATCAAGGGACATTTACTGCTTATAAACCAAGATTAGTGCAAAAAGAGACTGATCTGCCTTTCGAAGAAGCTCAATCATTCAGGACAGTAACTAAGGTCAAAGTCACTAGAGATGATTACTCTGATGATGAAAATGATTAGAGAGTACCCATCTATCTAGGTATCATGTTACATCACAGTAGCTACCTAAGATAAGGTCTGAAGGATATCATCATGGACTGTTGCTAGAGAATTTTAAATTTCGAAGCCATTAATCAGACAAAGTAGCTCCTTACTAGTATGCAAGAGTTGTTTGAGCAGAACAAGACTAAATCATCAGATGGCTGGACAATCATTCCAGATATGCACGTGACTACCTATTTCATGAACAGAGCAGAGGATAAGAAGGATAGCCACTTTTATGAAGATTTCGTTGAGAACCAAGAAGTTGAGGTGGAAATTATGGCTGTGTTGATTGTGCCTGGCAAGATAATGACTGGAGTATGCTTCCCAGATCACCCTGTAGAAAACAGATGTCCTCATATAACACTCCTAAAGAACATCTGGCCTCCTAAGAACTCTAATGACTTGCTCAATGAGACCTGCTTTAACTAGAAGGGAGCATTTAAGGTTGCTTATGATTAACTAAAGAGTGAAGGCAAGGTTGCTAAGGATCTTGAGCTTATCAAAGCCAACTCAGTCAGATTAGATAAAAATGCACCCTCTACCTCCTGCTACTTCCTAGCTCTACCTGAGCCACTATGCATCAAGGGTCTAACTAAAAAGGTATATAACTGAAATTGCATTAATCATTCTTAATCTAAAATTCGCTAGTTAATTTAATCAAGATTTTAATCTTACATTTAAAAATTATAATTACAATGCGGGGTTTTGGGGTTTTGGGGTTTTGGGG